CTGAATATCTCACCCATTTCTTCCAAATGCATAAATGGAACACCACAACTTCAGGGTTGAAAGTAGGTGATATTGTTCTGGTACGGGAGGACAATTTACCACCCGCTAAATGGCTTTATGGCAAGATAGTGGAAGTTCATCCTGGCAGGGACAATCTTACGCGGGTAGTAACATTACGTTGTAAGGATTCTTTAATACAACGTCCAACTTCGAAGCTTTGTCCTTTACCAATAACAGATAATGTTGAATAACATAAATTAAATTGTTTAGTTCAATTTTATATTGTTCAGTTAAAATATATATAACTTGTCATGTTATACCATATATTCTTCTTTTATCAGTAAATTTTCATGTTTGAATCGTTAGAAATAATTCTTGAATATGGGATTATTTTGTTTGTTTTAAATAGTAATGTAATGTTTGAAGCATATAGGTATTTCTTTCATATTTTATTTGTATTAATTCAATTCAAAGTTAATTCAGTTTAGTTGCCCAAATAGTGTAAATGTGCGACTTTTATACAAATTGAAGGACTATTTAGTCTTTGGTGGGCGGTATGTTTAAGATCTTAAACAAACATGCTATAATTGTATTTTGTAATCAGCAATCTAGATGTCACTAATTGTAGATGTGTGTAATTTTATTGAAAAGTAGTAAATTAATTATATATAATATATTTAATACATCATTACATATTTATTTACTATATATAGAGGGGGAGGAGCGTTACAATAAATATGTGTTTTGTTGGAAGTAGTTCGCGAAATGTGAAGCGGACGCGCCAGTGGTATCAAATTTTAGACCTTACGGAATTTTCTTCGACTATTTTGTACCAAATTAGACGCAAAAACTATCGTGCCTCAGTTAAATCATTCATTATAATAGCATAAAAATATTTTGGACTTTAAATTTTAATACAAGGGTATTATTTTCTCCAGACAAAGTAAATTGAGCTTCTCAAGATTCACCCTAATCTATAAAAGTAGAATTCTATAAAATCTGGTCATGCTATTTGTTGTTGTTATGATTTCCAATTAAGGTAGCAAAGATTTAAGACCTCAAATACAGTCTAGTCTAATTTGTATTTCTTAACAAAACTCTTCACAATATGCTGATCATGCATCCTATTGCATGGACAGTTAATGGCGATAGTAAATCAAGGTAAGTTGACTAGGTTTTTCAACGTGAGCTTGGCTGCTCGCGCATTGCCGCTCTTTTATTGTTTTTAAATAATGGTTTGACGTGACGTAAGAGCATACTGCAACGAATTTTATAAATAATTATTACGTTGGACTAGGCTATATAGTTTTAGACCTATGCCTGCTTTAAATGGTTAATCGTTACCATGGAGGTTACAGAACAGGAGAACGATCGCCGTAGAAAATAGTGTCCCAGAAATATGGACACCATAAGTGAGGCGCCGCGATCGCAAAGTTCGCTCAATAAAAGTCATTTTCAGTCTATTTTTCCGATGAGATGCTATACCACTTGCACATCCACGCACAATAAAATATTTCTACATTTTTTAATGTTTCTTTTTGTCAAAAATTAAAACTTACGGAGCATGAAAATTTTCTCATCAATTCGTCAAATTCAAATCGCGAAGAAAGTTTCTAAATTATTCAGCTAACTTCATCTACTTGTACTCCTAAACAACTAACTTCGCAGCCACTACTCACCGACGGCAGCGGCGCTATAAATTCTACAAATTTTCAAGGACGGTCGAGCTATGCTTTAGTACGTAGTGATCGTTCTCCTGTTCTCTAACCTACATTATCATAGCCGTAGCAAAAAAAAATCAAGGAGTTTTGGCGGGAACTTGGCCGTAGACGGATTGTTGCTCCTGTTTTGTCGCTTGAATAATGGTTTGAAGTGGATTTTGATTCGTAAAAGTGATGTGATTTTGTGAATTAAGTGTCTGCGCGTGTGAACTATTAGGGAAAACGACGAAACAAGTGCTTTCATGTCGGTATAAACCTTAAGTTATTTTGATCGCATGGGAGCCTCATGAACTTAAGTGGCTGTCGTCATCATCTTTCTGCTGGGTTAAGCTGTCATCAAAATCTCCCAAGGGCTTTGCAGTGTGACGCATCAGCATATTGTGAAGAAAAAGAATATAAAAATGAAGATTCCGACAGAAATGATAGTCTCAGAAAGATTAGAACCCAGAGCCGTAAAGCCAGTTAATAAAAAAAATCAACGTCTATATGCGACAGATGGGTGCGTTTGGCAGAAAATGCGCTAGCAAGCGCTTGTAAACAAAATGGCGATCGTAAGCGGTAAGTGCTGTCAAATCGTAAGTAGCTATTTTCTTCTAGGACACGATGTTAGTTTTAACCGGGGAACCTAACCCAATTTGCATAATATATGTTTGTAGAAGTATTCATATTAAAAACTTACCAATCTTGAATTTTTAATAACATGTATATGTTTATTCATGTCATTATACTGTTACTTAAAACTAATATTGCACAAAACAACTTATAACAATCTACTTCAAAACAAACAAATTAAATAAGCAAAATGGCGGTTGTGTCAGCGCTACTGAAGTAGCAATCGTGTCCTGGCCGAAAACTATTTTAGCGCTTATAAGCGCTTGCTAGCGCTTTTTTCTGCCAAACGACCCATTGACACCAAGTTTTTACTTTATGTACGTCTATGTCGTCTATGGTCTATGGCAGTCTATGGAATCTTGATTTCGAAAACTTCATTATGTGCTTCAATTTGAAGTTTGGAAGTAGTAAATATATTACTCTACTCTATGGCGTAAAGCGAATTGAGCTTTGAATCTCCGGTAGGAGTAATAGTGTTCTGTGTTGTGGTGATACGATATCGATAGTATAGTACGCTAGTACCTAGTACGCTGTAAGATTCAGTTTTAGTTTTGTTAAAATAAAATAAATAAGTCCTGTTTTAGCCTTTAAATATTTAAAAAATTAACTAATTTTTGAATTCAATAATATAACGTTTGAAAGGTTTATATAATTTTCTTTAGGTGTGTGTGGGCTTTTGTCACAGATATTGATTTGTTTTATTTTACGAATTCGTTTTTTAATATGGTTTAAGTAAAATAAAAAGCTCGCTTCAGTGGTTAATAATAAATAATGTGAAATATGTGTTTATTGCCAATTTAGGATGGATATGTTTTACTAAAAATGAAAACAAAAAGTTTTCTATTATTTTCGTCCTCAGTGTTTGCAATAAGCTTATTTCTGATAGTATTTCACTCCCAACCGCCTCAATCAATTCAAAACATTGTCACACAAACTCATCAGCATATAAAGGACTTTCAGGTAAATTTTACTTAGGTTCATATTATTTGTTAATAATAACTATTGGATAGATAGAAAAAATGTTAAACTTAGAAAAAGCATCTGTTGGATTAAGTATTCATTCAATAATTTGTTCTTAAGATTATTTTGCTCCATAAATCCATTAAATCCTTAAAATAAATAAATTAGTAATAATTTTAACAAATGCAACAATTTTATTTTTTTTGGATAAATATAATATAAAATATGAAAATAAGTAAAGCCTTAACCTACTGACTCAAAATGTGTACCTACTTTTTGTACCTGTTAGTGCATTATAGTAGTAGCGTAATTTATTCTACATTTTGTATGTGTTAGTGCTTAAAATAGATTTTGTAATGACAAATGCCTCCCTAGAGAATTTCAATTTCAGTTTTGTATATTTTCAGCAATTTTTCTTCATGGACTTGGTCATATTTTTCTTTGTTTACCTCTTAGTCTTTTTCTATCATTGGGGTAACATTCTGTCATATGTTTGGTCCATTTTAGTTGCCATGCTTGGTTAGCGAGTTGGCAAAAAGTCATTGGATGCAGGTGGCTCAGGACTGTGTTTTGTGGCATTCCTCGGGGGAGGCCATGTTCAGCAGTAGACTTGTGATGGGCTGTAATAATAATGATGATTATCAGTTGTCACTGAGGGTAGTCTCTGTTAAGTTTCTTACGATTGAAAATTTATATTTATCTTTTCATATTAAACTTATAATATTTTGTTTGATTTTATGCTAGCAGAATTTCAATTTAAAGTATTTGTATATGAATCTAAAAACTGATAAAATCAATACATTATTATTGTACATAGAGCATTCAATTCTAAATTATGCAATACAATATGCAGGTAAAGTTAAAGATTTAGATTTATTTACTTGTTGTCCCTGTGTATTCTCGAAAATTTGAACATTATGAAGTAAATTTGTTTTGATAATTTTCTATAATATTTAAAAAAATAATTATTTAAATTGTTCATGTGTGTTGTGTTAGTTTTTTTTAAATTGCAACATACAAATATTTTTAGTTTTTTTTTTTATAGAAGTAAGTGCATTGACAAATGGCCAAACAGTACACCTAATGGTAAGTGAATGCTTTGGCTTTAAGTCTTAGTAAGAAAATTGTAGTAAGAAAGTGTCCCATTACAAGTAAAAATTGTGTCTAGTTTACATCACTCACTATACCAAACACAGCAGTATAACACTGCCATTTCATGCTGGTATACTGTGCAAGAGTGGTCCTTTCTTGTCGAGCCGACCCATTTGTGCCTTAGCTATGATATGCTATGGGCACTGCTTTACCATGAATAAACTTAAAAATTCACACATTAAATATTTAAAAAAGCTTGGCATATGGGTAATAGGTTGGTGTATTCTCCCTTCTTCATCATCAGGCTATAAAAGTCTGGAAAAGTACTGCTGAACAAGGACCATTATTGTTGAGAGGGTCTGCCTTAATCATTGCACTTGGAGGTCGATTGACAATACCAGATGTCTTGCACCTTTGATAGTGCTCCTCATCACGAGTTCGGCTATTTTATGCCTCGAGAAAGAGGGTATGGGTAAGCGTCCAGCCGTGCAATACTTGTTGTTTACACAAAGCTCTCCCAATCTAGTCTACCTAATCATGTTTGTGGGTATATATTCCTGATACGATTTATAATGAAAATACGACAGGCGTGGGTCCCACAGGAGGAGCTGCGCGATGTGGAGGCCAACCACCTGGTGGCGGGGGAGCGGTACGCGGGGCTGTTGGGTCTCGCGGGGGGTGGAGCGCTGGCGCAACTGCACACTGCCCGCGCTCGTGACGTACGCGCGCGGTGACGCGCACGCACTCGCTGTAGCCTTTGTACGCCACGCCGCCCGCCTACCCTACACGCTGTTGCTCTACAATGTCGGCCTCAAACCATATTCGCTCTCTGTGGTCAGTGCTAATAATAATATTAACTAACTCCGTGATGGTCCGCTCCAGCCTGGAAAGCTCCTCGATACTGTTCGCATTGTGCGCCGGTTTCTTTCCCTTTCCCCCTAACACCTATCAAGGGCTCCCATCTGGTTGGGATTTTATCCATTTATGTATTATTTATTTATTTATTTTACTGTATGTAATGCATATTTATCATTTTCTTTTATTAAGCATAACCAGATAAGAATATTTACTATATATAAAAAACCCTATAATAACAATAATAATGTCTTCACAAAGACATATATATATATATATTTCAATAGAATAAGTGTGACAAACGAGCACACAGTCCACCGGATGGTAAGTGGATGTTGTAGCTCATAGACATCTTCATTTGTCCTTAATTAAGAATCAAAATGCAGATGCGTTGTTACCCCTGAGGACTGAGATGAAATGCCTTGTTTCCAGTAAAAAGGTCTTTACACTTACCATACGAAACATAGTGGCATTAAGCTACTATTTTACACTGGTATTATGTGAGAGTGTGGTCCTACCTCGTAGAGCTGACTCATCCGTGCTACATTTTTAATATAGCTGCAGCATGGCTCTACCACGTAAAATACATACTGCTAGATGGCCACGAAGGTAGTAATACATTGTGCAAAGAGTTCAGGTCAATTCTCCGTAACATATTTAGTCGACTGCGAGTGGCCAAGAAGACTAGTTCTTTGTATTGTAAGCAACAAACATTGTATTCAACAATCGAACAGTGATTTCGTTTAATGTGAGTAAGAAAATGCTGTCATTATTATGTACCCACTTTGTCAATGTGAGTATATTTTTTAAAAGTTTTTTGTATTGTCGACCTGTATAATACAACTGAGTGGCATTGTTACCGTGCTGGCCACCCTCCCAGCACGGGTTGCGCCCGCATGGTTCACAGCTGAGACACAATTCTTGTTCTTATTTGCCAGTCTAGTAGTATTCTGCCTCGTTGGTCTACTGGTTGTAGTACTGCGACTGCTGATCATAGGTCTCGGGTTTGAATATATTTTTTATGGAATAGGGTGACAAACGAGTACATAGTCCACCTGATGGTAAGTGGTTACTGTGGCCCATAGACATCTACATCTATCCTCGATTACGAATCAAAATGCAAAAAAAAGGACAAAAAAATCAATTATTGAGTTTTCCGTCAAGAAATTCTCAGTAGTTGCCCTGAGTCAGAAAGCTGGCGGTGTCTCACCCCCGTGCCTCGGAAAGCACGTAAAGCCGTCGGTCCTGCGCCTGATCTCTCTCCGGTCGTGTCGGTTTACTGTCCCATCGGATTATAAAAGTGAGGGAATAGAGAGTGCACCTGTGCTTGCGCATACACTTGGGCACTATAATCCGGTCCTGCGCCGATGGCTAGTCTCCGTTGAGGCTGCTTACCGTGACCGAAATTAGTATACATAGAAGTATTTGTGTCCTGCAAATCGAATTTCGGTCTAAACCTAGTCTAGCCATCTGTGCACTCTCTCACTCTTAATTGTCCGATAGGACTGTAATCCGACTCGACCGGAAAGAGGTCAGTGTCTCCAATTTTTTTTAATCTTCACGCTTAGCAGTACCAGGCATTTCACGCCTTTGATGCTGTTACTCGTCGGTGTGGATATTTAACGTCTCCCGTAAATGAATTAATTCAATCGCCATCAACCGGGGGCCTTTAAGATTTGGTATTTCCCATATCGTCTCTTAGGATACACAGGAAAGAATGAGTGGTTTCTCTTACGTCGTTTCTTAGACTGCTTTAGTTTAACTCTCTGTTAGCTCGGAGGAATCGAAACTAGGAAGGATGAATTATTGAGATACAAGTTATTTTTAAATCGACTCCCGTATCAGTTAAGAATGAAATATATGTTATACTACCTGTTCCCCGCGACTTGGTCCGCGTGGAATTTATTATGGTTGTATTTCATGGGTTTTGATATTTTCGCGCAGATCCCAAAATTGTTTTTCCAAAATAAAAGTAGCCTAAGTTACTCCTTATGACATCTGTTATCTGCCAGTGAAATTCCCGCCAATATCAGTTCAGCCATTTCGGACATTAGGCGGAACAAACTGGGGGACTTTTTTTTGTATAAGTACCGTACTTTCATATGCATTTAGTAAAATGATGTTATTTTGAAATTACAAACGGACACTTCAGTTTCATTTATTTGTATAGATCTGTCGTGTAAATCTATACCTGAATGCCTTGCTATTCAACTGCATACAGTACTATTATATGAAGTATTTTCTTTACGTCATCTGTAAATGTTTTTTTATGGGGGGGTGGGGGGTGGCAGACGAGCACACAGTTCACCTGATGGTAAGCGATCACCGGAGGATGGAATTTCGAGTTCTGTCGCAGTGTACGGTGGTGGAATTCAGTAGCTGGAATTAATCTGGATATTTCCTCTGAACACTCCCCGTAGTAAATGTGTTAAAGATGAAATGCTGCTAAACGGTTGGCTGCGATGCTTAGGGTTCGAATTGCGTACGTAAATAGTGCTTGTATTGTCTACACTTAATTTTTCCGGGTCTGGACGATTGTCCATGTACGTAATAAGCCTCTACGATGTAGAAGTAATGCTGAGTGGGGACAACCTTCCATAAAGATCTAAATTATGTAAATAAATTGAGCTACAATCATAATAATAATATAATATAATAATTTTTATACATGGTAGAGTCATGCTGTAGCTATATTACTGGTATAGTTGTTGCACGAATGGGTCGGCTCGACCGGAGAAAGACTACGCTTTCATAGAATACCAGCGTAAAATAGCAGCTTAACGCTGCTGTGTTGCGTATGGTGAGTGTAGAGAACTGGAGACCCTTTTTACTAGAAACGAGGCAATCCATCTTAGTTCTCACAGGTGACAAAGCATCTGCATTTTAATTCGTAATCGAAGATATATGTAGATGTCTATGGGCCGCAGCATCCACTTACCATCAGATGGACTGTGTGCTCGTTTGTCACCTTATCCTATAAAAGAAATTGCAAGCTGCTTTTTGTATTATCCGTTTTTTTCATTATGTCGGAAGATCCAAGACCAATTGAATATTGAATTAGAAGATGGTGCACTTAATAATTCATACATGCAACACAACGTCCAACAATAATAAGCGGCTATCCTTATTGCACGTTCGGCTAATCACTCTTTGTTATGCTGTTTGCTTAGACACCTCGTATGGTTGCACATTTAAATGTGAGCTCCATATATGATGAAGTGGCGTACCATTGCATATCTGTGCGACGCCTGGACTCACTGAATTATTTATTTATAATTACGTTAATAAATTCTTTAACTATTTCCTTCCATATTAATAGCCAGTACTTGTCTGCTATAATATCACTTAATGATTTCTTATATGTATTTACCCAAATACCACAAATGAATGAAACTTTGGGAATTATGTAGGTTATAAATTAAGTTATATTAAACTTGAATCATGCCGTGTAATGATGGGAATAAGATAATTTTCTATCCCATATCATCCCGTGGGTGGGAGAGTAAGAGAGTGAGGAAATAAAGCAGTAAATGGGTGGCACCTTCTTTTCGACAATAACAGAAAATAATAAAAATATACGGTTGCCAACCCGTCTGGCAAACGTGGTAACTGTGGCTGTGGCAAATATCCCCCCCCTTATGAAGCAATTTATTGGGGTCGTCCATGTCGTGTTAGCAATTTACTTTAATAAGCTTTAATGATGATGATGATAATGATGGCGTGTGAATGATTAAGATCATGCCTTTTGTTCCGCATGTACATACGTATGTTAATATTTTTTTATGGAATAAGGATGACAAACGAGCACACAGTCTACTTGGTGGTAAGTGGATATTGGGGCCTATTAGACATATTCAACTATCTTCAATTAAATATCAAAATGCGTTTTCACCCTTGAGGACTGAGATGGAATGCCCTGTTTCCTGTAAAAAGGGTCGCCGGTTCTCTGTACTCGCCATACGAAAGCTTTAAGCTGCTATTTTACGCTGGTAGTCTGTGAGGACGTGGTCCTTCCCCGGTCGAGCCGACCAATTCGTACTACAGCTATAATACTAATATGGCTGCAACATGGCTCTACCACGAATAATGCCTTTCGATGTGTTAATAGATGCATTTGGCTTAAGTTAATGAGTTTTGGATGTACTTGTTACGTAGTAACGTTATTTGATCTGTGGTACTAAGAAAAAGCTATCTTAACGTTGGCGCCGTTTCTTTGACAGGTGTCAAACTATTGCAACTCGTCGAAGTGCGCCATAATAGACTTCGATTTAAGCGTGTTCCCCTCTCATGTCAGCGACGAGAGCATCTACGCGTTTCGACCCCTCATCATACAGGTGAGTCCTACACCTATATTCTCTGATGATCTCCTCAATATATTTTACAAACGTGTGGTCGGTCTTACTCATTCTCACATCACTACCCAGCTACAGCGTCTTCATAATAACGACTAAAAATAAATGAAACTGTGGTTGTCAACCCGCTTGCCAAGTGTGGCAACTGTGGCAAATATCCCCACCGTGAGGAAATCCATGGGGCAAGCCTATGTCCAGCTGTGGACTGTAATAGGCTGTAACGATGACGGTAACGGTAAAAACCAGCTACAGCGTCTTCATAATAATGAGTAAAAATAAATGAAACTGTAGTTGTCAACCCGCTTGCCAAGTGTGGCAACTGTGGCAAATATCCCCACCGTGAGGAAATCCATGGGGCAAGCCTATGTCCAGCTGTGGACTGTAATAGGCTGTAACGATGACGGTAACGGTAAAAATTATATGTTTATGGAAAAAATGCATGTTACTAGACAATCAAAATAGAAATCAATCCCCCTTACATTAAAAAATTATGCACCAAATGCATTTAGATTTGATGTATTGTAAATTTGTAACTTATTGTACTTCAAAGAACCCAATAGAAAGTGAAAACCTGGGCACCTATCCTCCGGTGCTTCACGTGTTTATCTCTGAAATAGTACATCCGGTCCGAAGTACAAGGAGTACGAAATAACAGGAAGTAAACCCGCAAGATAAATGTGAAGAAATACGACAAATTGCTTCCAACTCGTGGGAGCCGTGTCCAACAGCATTCTCGAGCTGCTGATATTGATAGCAAATTAATAAAAATTTGGAAAATAACTTTCTCATTGCATATTTTCCAACTATTTAACAGTAACAATCGGTATTTAAAGATAATTGAGATAAGATAGACATCGGTTATATTTATATATCTTATCTTGAACATCACATAATTAGATTTTAATAATATGAACCTTTTTTTTTCCACTTGGTAGAGCCATGCAGGCGGTTCTAACACGAACGGTAGGCTCGACCGGGGAAGGACCACGGTGTCAAGAATACCAGCGTAAAGTAGCACCTTAATGCTGAAGTAATGCTGAGTGGGGACAACTTTCCATAAAGATCTAAATTATGTAAATAAATTGAGCTACAATCATAATAATAATATAATATAATAATTTTTATACATGGTAGAGTCATGCTGTAGCTATATTACTGGTATAGTTGTTGCACGAATGGGTCGGCTCGACCGGAGAAAAACTACGCTTTCATAGAATACCAGCGTAAAATAGCAGCTTAACGCTGCTGTGTTTCGTATGGTGCGTGTAGAGAACCGACGACAAGGGGTCTTAGGTTCTCTACACTGGAAACGAGGCATTCCATCTTAGTCCTCGGGAATGACAACACATCTGTATTTTGATTCTTTGTTGAGGATAGATGTAGATGTCTATGGGCCACAGCAACCACTTATCATCAGGTGGACTGTGTGCTCGTTTGCCATCATTATACTATAAAAACAAAGCAAACATTATAATTGTCCACGTGGTAGTATGTGGCTAATACAGCTGAAACAAAAGAGCCATAGATTCACTTTGTTCCTAAGGGGCAAAAATATGAGCTCGTTTGTCACTCTTATTTTATATTTAAAAAAAACTCACGCGTAGTTGATTTATTTATTTATTTATTTTACTGCTCAATAAGATATGAACGAGGTGCGCCAAGCTAAACTTTGATAAGGATTTGTCCGCAGTGCGTATTAGTAACTTATTCTGTGGTATCAGCCTGGCCGCACACGGACCACCGACCACTAGAAGCTGGCTAGAATTGGATGTATCCAATAATGGCGGTATTTTCGTCTTCTACGACGCCGTTTTTTTAAATTAGAAGCAGCTCAGTTAAACCCTCTACGTCGAAGTCCATTATGATACTGCAAACTATGTGTTAAAAAAGTAGCGTTCACCGACTGCAAGTATATACCACTGACCACAAGTGGCTGTCGTGCGCTTCAGCTAACTTTGTAGCCGCTTCTAACTTCAAGTGGCGGCGTTTGTAGCTGTCGCGTCTGGCATACGTACGGCCACCCTTAGGGCGAGGTTTTTAAATGATTAGATAAATCAATAAGCAAAAGTTATTTATCTTAAAGAAAAATTAAGATTATTTTTAAGTTTTAGTTTTTTTGTTGAAAGTTTATTTTAGACAACTATTCGCTGAATGTCGAAAACTACTAGATATTATTGTGTATGTGAAATATATTTATAATAATTACACTTAATACGGCACTTAATTATTTATTTAAACTTAATTTTCTAATTAGTATGAAAAACTAGGTTAGTACGTAATGGAAGTAAATAATGGAATCACAGAGTACTTTCTAAAATGGAATATGTGGCATACGTAGACAGAGAAACCTATAGACAAATTGACGCCTTCTTTCGCATTTGCACATGAAAAAGATAGATTTATGCATACGTCTTGCATAGAAATGAGATAGAGCGGTGTGATTGTCCCTTTCTCCGTGCCGGTTTTTTTGTTTAGCAAAGTTTACAGTTTGCTAAACAACTTTAACAGCGTAGCGATTTAAGGAGTTTACAAGTTGCTTTAAGTGAGAAAAAAGTGTTTTGTGAGCTTAAGATTGGTGAATCTTGTTCAGTTCAGTTCTTAGAACAATTAAAATTTTTATCTAAATGTGTTTAAAAGTCATAAAGATTATTGTATAACCTAAAAATTCGTTATCGTTCTTTCTCACTCGAGGCCACGCTGATCATTAGTCTATAGGTTTCTCTGTCTACGGTGGCATAGATGAGCATAGATAACAAAACATGAGTCTTCCTTTTGTCGCATCATAGACATACGCTTTATGTTTACTATTTATGGTCATTTGCTCAATGTCTAACAGATATTATTAGGTATTCGACGAATAACAAAAAAAGTCGAGTAATACCGAATACCGGATAATAGCGAGTATTGGCGGCATCTCTACTCTCTAGTGAGTGGTTAATGTTCCCTACATTAGTATATTAATATTGTTTTAAATATAAATAAAACGGTGAAAAATAAAATAATAATTTGAAATTGGCACATCATCACGTGAGTGTTGTAAGAAGCGACAGGGGAACACTAATCAGATGGGCAGCAGCGTCTTTCTATTAAGGGCTAAAAATTAAAATAACCTGCTGTTGCCAACCCGCCTGCCAAGCGTGGCAACTATGGAAAATATCCTTAAGGCAATCTATGGGGGAGGCCTGTGTTAAGTTCAGCAGTGGACTTTAATAGGCTGTAACTGTAACGGTTGTAATTTTATGAACATCCTCACACCACAGTAAAAAAAAAAGTAAAAAAAAAATCTCCTACTATGTGTTTTTTATAGTTCATATAGTGGCGGTGTAAGAATATCCACTACTCTATATCATCCCGCGGGTGTGGTAATAGGTGACGGACTGAAATAAAGTCAGGAGATGGGCGGCGGCAATCTCCTCATGATGATTGCCAATCCTCCTGCGAAGCATAACGTGGCAACTGTGGCAAACAGCGCACCTTGAAAAATTTTACAGTTCTAATTTCAGTAGAGGACTTCTGAATGGCTTATGAATAGTATTCGGACTAATGATAAATATAGTAAAATATTACATAATTAGCACAAGCAATCTGCCCCGGCTTCGCATGGGTGATTTCTAAATCTTGACAACAGCGCTACATACCAATTGTGAATCTAAAGCATCTGGGGAGCCCCTCAAACACACAAAAAATTAATCATAATCGGTCCAACCGTTTAGGAGTTCAGTGACAAACACAAGTTACGTTTGCGGCAGCTTAGGGAGGGTTGAAGTGAAAGGAGACGAAGACTTTCCTATATTACTTTATTTTTTAACTTACAAGTTAACTAAACTACTCTGACGATGTAGTGGCGAAGCTAGGGCTCCAAACTAGGGCAAGCCCAAGATCTGGTTTTGGTGTTTTTAGCAGTTTTATAAAAATACACCAATCTTGATCTGTCTCCACTCTCCAGTTTCATATTCAGTGCTGTCGAGGACGTGTTTAACAAAGCACAGAGAAGCAGTGGCGAAGCTAGAGCTCCAAGCTAGGGCAAGCCCAAGATATAAATTGATAAAAATATAGATTGTTGTTTTTAGCAGTTTTATAAAAATACACCAATCTTGATCTGTCTCCACGCTTCAGTTTCATATTCAGTGCTGTCAAGGACGTGTTTAACAAAGCACACAGAAGGCATACCACTGCTAGATAGATTGTATTAGATATCAGGAATTGCATAGCGTCGGTGGCTTTAAAAAAAGTCGTTTTGGTTTGCTTGAGCGAAAGAAAAAAAATATTTACATACAATACTATACATGAACAAAGTACGAACAAACTGTACAAAATAAAAAAATAAAACAAATTATTTATATTCTAAATCGAATAGTCTCTTTTTCCTAAGGAAAGATTTGATTACGTTCGCGTAAAATGTTGATGAACGTTTTAATTGTACCAGTGATTGTTTTTCAATTGCGATTATTGATAAGTCCGGAAGACGCTCTTGACCTTGTGTATTTTCTCAACCCAGTTTAAAGATTTTACCTTTTCCTCGCTTTAACACACTTCAATTCATCACAAGGAACACTATTATCCTCCATTTTCGCTAATAAATCTTTGAAAAAGCATAAATTTTCGACAGACAACAAAAACAAACAGAGTAGATAAACATTGAAATATGAAGTGAATTTGCAAACGTATCACCCGCGCGCCCCCGCACTCAGAAACAACTTCTTACCAAAGCCCGGCGTTTGGTTCCATAGTAATTGCTATATAAACATTTCGTAGTTATATTTCATTATAGAACATTTTGCCACAGGTTAGAAAGGGGGCGATCGTCTTCTCAAAAATCCGGTAAAAAGCTCACCCGTGCGAGAGAGACGACTAATCGCTCAAATCAACTCCTTGCTTTCATTAATTTTGACAGTCCATTGCGTGTTCGCTTTGAGACAAAGAGAACACGAATCAGTGTATTTCGAATTGAAAGCAAACTGCCAAGTGTTGACGTTACATAA